ACACCAGCACAGCAATCAGCAGAGCAACAGGACCATTAATAAATTTAAAAAAATAAATAAGAGTATTGAACACAACAGGTCCAGCTGCTGCTCTGAGGAGAGAAACAATTACTTTCTTGGAACAGCACATGAAGAGAAACTGACCAGAGAAACTGAGGCTTCATATTATCAGTATTTTCTACGGTCTGACAGGTATTCTCCCAAAATAGTAGAAATAAATGTCAGCAGCAGTCAAGCAGCTACTTTTGTAGACTTGAGCCTGTTTGTCACTCTATACTTTACTTACTCCTCTGCTAAAGAGAAACAAAATTCTCCTGCCTCATAAGTTTGTGGTGAAAGCAAAGGTAAATAATTGAGACAGTGGAACTAAATACAGAAGTAACTGACAGTGTCCTAAGAGTGTAATAATAGAAAATAGGTGTATATTTATGTCCTTACCAAACCATATTTTGTACAAGATTTTGCAGCTGTTGAGATCAACCAGAAAAGCAAGGGAAAAAAATCTGTGGGGGGGTTGGGGGGGAGAAAGAAACTTGCGTTCTCAAGATGCTGCTTTTATGCACCAGAAACAGAATTCACCAACCCAAGCTTTGTACTTTGCTGGCATCAATAGTGAGTTGATAGGGTTAACTGTCCTGGAAAATTCATGATTATCAAAACCTGTGTGCTAAACAGCAGGAAACACTGCATTCTGGGGTAAATTTAAATTTTCACTTCTTTCACAGACTTCAGAAACTAATGGCTGTTTGCAAGACAGAACTCAGGCCGAAGTTGCTTTTTGGATTCAGAAGACAAAGTCGCTTCTTTCATAACCACCGAGCTTAGTAAGTCAATTTTGTGCCTGTTTGCCAGCTACAAGAGAGGCCTAGGATTTGTAAGGACTAATTTCTCCTCATCCTAAGGAGTTCATTTAAATCCATACCTCACTATCCCATGAGAAAAGTATAATATTGGAGCCAACCAGCACAGGCTCCACAGGACAGTGGAAAGCGAGCTCCATGACTATCCCATGGAATAATGCTCCCCCCCTCATAGCACAGCTTTTGCTCTTTGTTCTGGACACCATGCATGCACGAAAATAAAAAAAATACCAGAGCATATGTGAATCAAAGCCAGAAATCTACCTTCTTTCCTTACTTTACACATCATAAAGCATTCCAGTAAGACACCTGTAAGTACTACAGAGCATCTGTTACTAAGAGATGCTGCTGTTCAATTCAGTTATAAGCAAGGAGGTTTGACACCAGGAAGCAGGGATGTGACAAATGAAAAAAAAATACGAAATGAAGTTGAAATATACTAGGGGTCACTTCACTAGACTGCCCTCCTTTCAGTCATCACCCACACTGGCCTCCCATACAGAGGGGACAGAAAGAAACGTATCACAATACCTACATAACAGACACTGGAAAACTGCTGCAAGAAATTTGGTACTTTTACACAAAGTTATGCTTCATATACTGACAATGTATGAACAGACAAGGCTAAAGCCTTACTGTAGCCCAACAAAGTAGCACTAACTTTAGATGGGATGAGATAACCAGGATTACATCCCACCAGTTGCATTAAATTGCTGCTTTTCCTCCATAGAAAACAAAACTGAAGTTAAAAGTTTTACCAGTATAACTTGGTATCCATACACCTGGTCTAGGAATTTTATCAAAAGATCAGAAAAGATACTTACATCACATACATAATATCCCAATGACAAAACAAACAAACTCCCCCCCCTCCAAAGTTAAACTAACTGCAAAAATTTTAATCAAACCTCAAGGACACCATAATGTTTTAAGGAATTTCTAAGACTTCTTTTTAAAAAAGGCAATAGAAATACCCTATTCTATTTCCCTTATCCCCACAGTATAGCAAGGAAGGCAGTCTTAGAAAGATTAAACTAGAAATAAACTATATTTTTTCCCTTGAGTCTACCATGCATGTCAATATGTATTTTATAGAAATCTTGTTGCACCACAAAGCTCAGAACCTTTAAATTTACATTTATCCTTGAAGCTTCACTTTAAATAATATGATAAACCAGAAGTAAATAACAATAACCAAAATACAAAAATCAAGCCTATCAAGTTCTCAAGTGAAAACATGATAGCTTTAAAAAGTTTCTGTGAAACAAAGGTTTATAGAGATTACTTATGATTTAGAATTAATGTAAAGCTCAATTTTGTAATTATCAAAATCATTAATGTTGTCTGAAATCACAGCTGTATCATCTTCTCATTTTTCAATTTTTCCTAAAGAAGAGCTCCTCTATTCAAAAACATAATTTGCAGAACAACAACAACAAAAAATCTTATGTAACTTATTGCAGCACTATTTTCACAAAAAAAAGTCAACTTAGTTTGCTGGAATTCTTAGTTTAGAATTTCTAGAGAGCTGCAGAGAACGCAAGTGCCTCTTCTAGGCTTGGGAAATGACACAGTCCCCAGGGGACACTGTTCTACCATTGATAGAAACAGACTATTTTTGCCTTGTGGACTGCTTTTGAACAGCTCCTCTGCTCACTGCTGTCAGGATATCAATACCTGCTCCATCAGGCTGCCATCCCTCCCTCACTGTGGCGCTATGGCAAGCAGCTGAGGTGTTGGGAGAGGCTGACAGAGCCCTCATTCACAGGGAAGGCTGAGGATGTTTGTTTCATCAATGAATGGGAAAGCTCAATTTATAAGTAGTCAAAACATCATTTCACCACGCCATCTCCTCAAAACCACCTGATGATCTCTAACATGAACTTAATTGTTCTTAAAACAAGATGGCACATTTATAAACACTACTGTCAGGGTCAGAATACCAACTAGACGCTCAATTTACTCACGAAGGCAAAACCATTCCAGCTGTAACTAAATTATTGAAGCCACAGACAGCTCTGCCTCTCTGCCATGGTCAGAACACACCAAAACAGTCCAACTGCACATCACTAGCATGATGTGCTGACTCTACACACATACCTTTGCTACCTAACACAATCTTAGAATATATAAGAAAAGTCTGCTGCAGTTTCAGTAGGACTGACCTCTAAACTTGCCTTAAGTCACACAAAGTATCAAGAAATTGAATACCTGAAGGGCAAAGAATAACTGTGCTGAGTGTTTAAATTCTTTCACCTGCTACTAACTTAATAGGGAAAAAGAAGTTACATTTCTACTAGGATACTATTTCTAATACAGTCTTTCCTAGTATGAAAGAAACTACCCTCATTTCTAGGGGTAGTTGCAAAATGTCTTACAATTTTCTTTATATTTCAGGGAGTTGAACTCAAACTTGTATTTCAATCCCTGTTGCTTGTAAATATTTTGGGTTATAAAGTGCACATCAAAAGACATAAGTAACTTAATTGCATTACTTGTCTGTACTTCAACCTTCCACCCTCACTGGGTAATGACATTGCCAACATGATTTCAATACTTACCGTGATAACAGAATTACATTAGAGTCAGCTGTAAGGTTCAAAGTTTCACTGCTCATTTTTACTGTTTTTCCATTAAACAGTCCTATTACTGTTCAATTAGTATTCAGACTGGGAGAAAAGGGAGGGGGGAAAAAAGGGGGAGAGAAAAAAGGAAGGTAGCAAAAAGACCTTTTCAGAAAACATTAGAAATTTCTTCAAGGCATGTGTGTTCTAAAGAGCCATGCAGCACACATGGAAATAATTTCTTGCATTGAATACCTTAGATTTCCTAAGTCACAAAGTAAATTAGAAGCTGCAAAGACTGCAGAGTGCACCTTGTACACTAATGACAGACACTTATGATCATGCATAATTTTCTTTCAGCAGAAATTACTTCCAACTAAATTTTAGCACCCAACACCTATTGCATTTTAAAACCCATGGAAACATAAAGTAAGCTTCAAATTAAGAAGCTATCCTTAACTTCCTCCTCTAATAACATTCAGCATATTTCATTAACCAAAGTTACGACACTTTGGAGGACTAACTTCTGTAATGGATACCCTTATTAACAAAGAATCAAATATGTTATTGCTCAATTGAAGCCATTGACCACACATGGGTGATGACCCTTGAAATGAAGGCTACTAATACACTAAAATGATATATGATGCCATCTAATACACTCTAATGTGAAGGCTATGTAAGTGGTAAACAAGCTAAAGCAATATACTATCCTGTAATTTCTTACCAATGATCTATGAAACATTCATGTTACATTTAAATTACACTGACAATTACAGTGTAGGAGCATTGTACTGTTCAACAGAACAAACACAAGCTTTGGTAAATTACAGGCAGGGTTATAAAGAAGTGCATTACAACAACTCCTTAAAACTAAACTTCACTTAATGCAGGTCATACTGTGATTTATGAGCCATACATAAACCCATCAAGCTGAAGAATAACTCGAGCAAAAAACAGCTTATGTCAACTGCACTTATTAATAACAGTGATCGAGAAAACTGTAAACTGAAAATATTTGAAAGTTCTTTGTGACATCAGTCTGACAAGCAGTTAAACACAGCGTTGCAGTATCAGGTCACAATAGTAATATTCAGAAGAGCTAAAAAAAATCCGCCAGTCACTTCTGTCGAATTTACAACAGAAGAAGAAACAAAAAATCTCGGTGGTAAGACATCTACATGGACCTCATCAATTTCAGTGGACCTATAGCCACACACCCGTTCGAGAAGTATTGCAGAGAGGCAGGCAAACAAAAAGTTGCACTAAAACCTCCGCTTCTTGTGATGAAAATTAGAGCCCAGCATCACATTCAGCTCACCAACGCACAAAATCCCACGTCCTCCTAATTTCAGAGGCAGCCTCCGTGCGGTTCACCCCTCGCCCTTGCCGGGGAAGGCAGGCTCAGATGCTCTCACAACTTTCTCTCGGGCGCGGCGCTCGGACAGGCACACACGTGCTGCCGCTGCCGCCCCGGGCCGCAGCCGGGCCCCGCAGGGGCGAGACCAGGGCCGTGCCCGAGGGCGGCTGCGCCCTGCCCTGCCCCGGGCTGCGCTCCGGGCGGCGCCGCACCTACCTGCGGCTCGGCGGCTTCGGGCGGCTTCACCAGGTGCTTCTCCTTGTACAGAGACCAGAGGCCGATGTCAGGCAGGAAAATCAGAGCCGCGGTGAAGAGCAGCGTCATTTGCAGAAACCTCTTCTGTTTCCTCTTCATGGCCAAAGCCGGGCTGCTCTGCTGGCGGCGGCGGTGTCAGCTCCCCCAGCACCGCGGGGCCAGGCTCGTCCCTGCCAGCAGTCCCTCGGAGGGGCCCGGCGCCGCGCAGAAACTTCGCCCGCCTCACGCCTGCCCACCCGGAGCCCGGGCGGGGCCGCCCCCCGCAGCGGCGGCGGCGGGGCCGAACCTGGCGGCCGCTCCCCCCGCCCCGGCGCGGCGCTGCGCGGCGGCGGAGCCGCTCTTGGGGGAGCGCATGGATCCACCTGCGAACAGAGCGGCAAACAGCCCGCCACGCAGCGGGACGGGGGCGATAAATAAATAAGTATACATATATATATTAAAAAAAAAAAAAAGGAGAGAAAAGCCTCACAACCCAAGTCCAGTAAACAGCGTGGGACCAAGAGCTCCCCCTCCTCCCGGCCGCGCAGAGCCCCCGCCGCTGGCCGCGCCCGCCCGCCTCACGTCCCCCTGCCTGCCCCAGCCTGGGCGGGGGGGGCGCGGCATCATGAGCTCATCACGCGCAATTTGCTAAGCAAGACTTGGAAAAAAAAAACAAAAACAAAAAAAGCCACAACCCAAAAAACGGGAGAAGAGGGCTGGCGCCGGCACAGCGCGCCCCTCCGCGCCGGGGGGCGGGCAGCGAGGGGCGGCCCGCGCCCCCCCCACCACGTGCGCGGGCCGGGCCGGGCACGGGCGGTGCCGAGCCCGCCCCGCCGCGCCCCCTCATCCCGGCCGGCCCGGGAGCGCCTCCCGCCGCCTCCGCGCCCTTCTCCCGCCGGGCGAGGCGGGGAGCGACAGCCCCGTGCGGGGCCCGCGGGCCGGAGCCGGGCGGTGCTGCTGCCGCCGCTCGTTCTGCCGCCGCCGCCGCGCATCGGGGACGGGGCTGGCAATTCCCGTTCCGGTCCGTCCTCCTCGGCGCTACGTGAAATGCGGGGGGAACCGCGCGGAGAGCCCGCGGGCGACTCCCTGCTGGGCTGCCCGGGGCTCCCCCCGCAGCGCCGCCTTTCTGGAGCCCGCCCGGCCGCAACCCGAGCGGCTCCAGCCTTCCCCGAACCGCGGGGGGCTGAGGTCATCCCCCACTTCGGTAGCAGCACCGAGGGAAGGAGATGTTCAAAGCGATGTCGATTTGTACCCAGCGTGTTGCAGTCGGACCCGTTTGGGCTTCTGGTCTGAGCTCACCTTTTCTCTACGTAGTGTAATTACCTTGTCTTCCCAAACTAACTCCTCTCAGCAAAACAGGAGGACGCTCGGGTTAAGCTTACTAGGGCCTACTGCCCTTTCAGCTTTGTCAGATCAAACAGTGGGAAAATGTGTATCAGACTCATAATGATAACGTGTCCAGAGCCAATATTGAAAAATAAAGCTACATCTAACTTCCTTTCTTTCTGCCCTGCATGTAGAAAGCTGTCACTTCAGCTACAGTCCCTATTCCTATTGGTGGCTAAAATATTTCTCATTGTCTAGGTCTTAATCCTGCAGTCAGAATTTTCTTTCCGTAACCACAGTACATAGCTAAGAATGGTGAGAAGTAGTCCTGTCCTTTTCCATGGATGAGATCAGTCTTGTCCATCCACAGAACTGTCTTGATGGGCATTTCCTACATATGCATAAAATAGTGAAAGAGGCTGTAGAAAGGTTATTTTTAGGAGAGTAGCTGGAGATAAGGGAAAGCTTGAAGGCAGAACAGGAAAACTCTGAATGATGAAGGTGGAATGGGAGGAAACAGCGTGATGCTCTTTACATAAGAAAAAACAGGATTGGAAGAAGCTTGCAAGGTCAGCTCCTCCATGGCTCTGCCCCAAGGCACAATCAACTACATGTTTGTGTCATTCTTGACAAGTGTTTGTCTAACCCATTCCGCAGTCCTCCAGCGATAGCACCACTCCAGCCTCCTCAGGCAACCTGTTTTGGCTTGCCATTGCAAACTGTTCCTTACTGCACAACCTGAACCTCCCTTGCCGTGATTTCAGAGTATTACATGGCCGCCAAAGGGAGAGCAAGCAGAGTATTCCCCTCAGGCTTTACACAGGTAAAGCCCACTTCCAGGAACTGTTCTTTGGCACTCCAGGACATCTCCAGAGCTGATGTATCCTCCTGCTTTCATCAGGACTGTCTTCAACTGATTTGTATCTCATTTGCAGTCCAAAGCTGGAGCTAATAAGCTACTTGGGATCTTGCAATTGTTTATAAGAAAAGATGGATAATCATGCAGGTGTCACAGTGTGTACTCCTTTTCCTGCTTCCATATGGAATGAAAGCTTTTGTTGTAACAGCAGTATCACTTAGTGATAAAATTTAAGATCTGGTCAGTTTTGTTTCCCTCAAGATCACCTAATCCATTATTCATATTTCTATGGTTGAATATTTCTCTATATTTTACTGTCTCTGTTGAATATAACATTTTTTTCCAAAATATTTATCCAGTTTGTCAAAAACACTTTGAATTTTAGCCTATCTTCCACTGTCATACACAAATGCAATAAATTTGTTCAATTCTGCAATCCAGACTGTTAGCAAGAACTTGAGTTAGTTCCACACAGAACTCTGTGAAATGTGTGTTCCTACATTTAAGAGAATGCCATTGATACTTTACTCTCTCTGTAGTTTCCAGGCAATTTGAAATACCTAAGTAAACTAATCTTGCTTTGAAGATTATCATGTGCAAGACTTGGTCTATTGTCTTGGTGATAAGGGATGTATATCACTGGTACCTTTTCACCTCTGCCAGGCTATAAGGATGTCACAAAAGATCACAAAAAGCCATGCAAGAATTTACACTTTTTTATTGTTGCAACTAACCCAGAAGTTATTCAGTTCAAATGAATTTTTAAAATTTGGTTTTATATTCAAGAGATTAATCCATCCAAAGATTAAAGTACTCAGAAAACCAAAGGGCATTTATCTTGTCAGAAATTCCACTTATTTTTGTAGTTCATCATCCAGAGTTGGGAAATTTACCAAGCATATTGGAAATTTTGATTCAGCTGCCTTTTTGTCTGAAGACATTCAGCCCTAATGTTCTTCCACTCAGTGCAAAAAGCATAATAGCTAAAACCATCCTAAGTATAGAAATGATTGCTATGAGATCATATAATAATTGTGTAGAAAAAGTAGGACTACTGGCAGGAAAGATTTAGGAGATGTTGCATCTGGAATTCCACAGCTTGCCAGTTATGTCTGCCTCTGGAGGTTGAAGTGAATGCAGACATTGACTCTCAAGAGATGAAATTCAATTTAATTTCCTGAGTCCTGAGAACGATTTTGTAGTAAGGGTCATAGGCCACAACTGGCAAATTCATGTCTGCTTTGTAAAGAATTAAAGGCATATTTTTCAGCAAATATTTTTTTCACATAATCTTAAGCCACCTAGCCCTAATAGGCAGTGCTGAATTTTTAAGGCACTAAGCTAGTTTAAAGGAAGGAAGGGAAAAGAAACCACCGCTGTTGTGTGAGTTAAAAGCTGCAAATAAACAAGACATGCAGCAATAACTTATGCTTGCCCTAGAAGAACTTGCCGTGGAGCTGCAGAATAGACAATTTCTTCAGTGGTAATTTATTCAAATCTTCAGGTATTTGATGTTTGAAATCTCTAGCCATAAATGATAAATAATGAAAGAGCAGCATCCTGAAATCATTCACATGTTGGCACCACAATTTAGTGTATTGGGGATGTATTTCCATTTCCACTCTTCATGTTCTCTAAAGACAAAACTTCCACTAGGATTTCTGATATGACCTAGGACAGAAAAGAAGAGTGTAAAACACCCTAGCAGGGATAAGGACTGCAATGCAAAATGAACATGAGAAACTGTTTAGACGTGCATTTCAAACCAAGAAGCTGAAGTCCTCCAAGGTAAATTTTCTGAGATTAAGACTTTATGTATAGAATTACTCAAAAGGGACCTCAGGTCATGGCTAATCAATTCTCCTCATGCAGGAAATCCACTATTCAGTGCATTTATTGCAGAAGAGAAACTCTGCCCTCACATGAAAGACAAAGTACCCACCCTCACATTCAGTGTTACAAACATCAGAGGTTGATGTTCTCTAAGGAGAGGATGAATCTAGTAAAATGATGATTAACCATCTGTAATATTACTGTGTAAAAGACTGCATAAAGGTAATGCAATGGGAGTTTGCTTTGATTATAGTATTTACCTGTGGGTAATGCAGGATGTAAAATGACCTGGTCTGTTCCCATGATTTTTTTTTATCTGCTTAGTGGGGGAAAGCATTGCAAACCACTCTCAAAGACAGGAAGTAGTGCAAAAGGATCTGTTCTTTTGCTAGCACAACCATGATCTGAAACAGAGTTACAAACAATTGGTTATTCTGGTTTTTAGGGGACTGACATGGTTTATCACACCTGGCTTTTATCCTCAGACATCCAAGGGTCTCTCAGAGAATCTCACATCCTCTGTCACTTGCCTTCTTTTCACTTAAACCTCAAGAGAAGGGCATGATGCTGCTAGCATAGTAGAAATGGAAATTTGATGTGCAACAAATAGTACTTTTTTGCAAAAGTTCAAAATTCAAGGTCCTCCAAACTCCCACAGAGAACCTTTATTTTCAATACCTTCTGCAGAGAAACATTTCAACATATTTGCCTCAAAAAATAAAATGCTTTTTCATATATAGACTCTGGCTATAAATAACAATACATAAAACATTTTTTTTATTGACTAAGTAATTTTGTCCTCTTCTGTCTCTGGTTTTGTCATCAAGTTTCAAAATCATCATCACATATTTGTAATGCTGCTGTGGGAATATGTCTTGTAAACCTCATTTGTTGGGGTTTTCTTGGAATCAAACTCTTGTTCTCAAAGCTAAATGAGCAATTTAGCTGAAAAGGAAAGATAGGAGGCCACCTATGCATATAAGAAATCAAGAAATTCAGTTCCCAGAGCAAACTCAAGATAAGTTCATTTTATCAAGGTTTTTGAAATTTGGCTTCTGTTTTTGACGTTACTAGGTTTGTCAATATTCCATAGATCCAGAAAATTTACTTGAGAAATGTACTAAAAACATTTATTAAAATGGAAACATTTGTAAATCTGAAGACCTCTTCTGTTAGCTAGTGGAAATTTTCTAGCCATAGTACTATTAAAGGTCCATTACCTGTAAAAAAAGTTTTATAAAAATAAAAAACCCTAAATAATATGAAAATATTATTGGGGAAGTTTTGTTTCCCCCCACCCGCAAACCTTTGGCATTTAGAAAACAGCATCACTCCCATTCCAGAATTATACAGTTTGATTACAATTTAGAAGAAAAACTCCAGAAAAGCCACACAGAACTTGAATAAGTAATGACAACACCATGAATTATTTCCACTTTCACAACTTTGTTCTGTTTGACTAGCTGGATGATGGTTGATTGCTTCTTCATTGTTGCTGTGCCACTATAAACTCAAGAAAGCAAACAAAAATGCTGATGGATCAGACTTTTTGCCAGTTACCTCACAAGCTGCAGATTCACTACTGCACAAAAGAAATCACTGAAATGTAAGGGTAATCAGAAAAGTTTATTTTGAGAGACAAAATCAGTACAATGTCAAATATTTCTAAATAGCTCAGTAATCATAAAACACTGATGTCAGGAAAAATAGTTGCTCATTCTTCCTTTCACACAAATCCCCAGTAATTTGAGCCTAAATATGGTACAGGAACATGGCATTTGCAAAAATTTGGATGAAAAAAGTTATCTTCTTTTAGAGCATCTTTTTCAACAAACAGAAGCATTAGCTTTGCAAGAACAGAAAAAAACTCAGCTCAGTGATAGTTAGGAAAAGCATTTTGCTCTTCTGAAGATCAGCCCTCCTTTTCAGTCTTCTTGCTGTTCCATTTCAGAAACCTTGCTCTACATTTTCCAAGTATCTAGTACGACCTCACATCAACACTACTGTTTTCACATGCAGGAGTCTCCTTTGTCTGATAATGCACAGAGCCTTCACACTTTGATCGCACAACCCGATTCAGGTTGGATCTAAAATAACGCCTCATTACTGGAAATAAAACAGTACATTCTGCAAAGCTTCCTTAACAAGACTGAAAGTCTTATCTCACCAAACTTGTAAAATGTGCAGAATATATCAAAAGGTAGCAGATGTCACCTTAAGTTCCGATTTTTCACTAGAGGCATCGCCAGCAAACTTCAGAGATGTCTGCAGTGAAAAACAGGAGAGCAGAATGGGCTAGAGGGAGCTCCGCACTTGTTAGTTGCTCATTTGCCTTCTGTTTTGTTTTGGGCTGATGCTGGGCTGGAATGAGCCTTGGTCTTGCACTGGGAATCGTTTATTTCAGTTAAAAATTTAAAAGGATGAATGGGTGAGATGACACCAGGTTGTTCAGACCTCTGTCCTCCTCATTCATTCCCAGTCTGCTGAGTAACACATACCCCAAACCCTTGTCACGTTCTAGCCATTCCCCAGGGTACACTGCATGTCTCTGAGGTCTGAAAAAATCCCTTTAGGGGCTTGCACAGACACTTCAAGTCACCTCAAACACCGCAATGGCATCTTTTTTCTCTCCATGTTGTGTTAGAGCTCGGGGCTGAACCTGAGAAGTGGGCACACTAAAATGCTGGTTTGCTGCTTAGAGTTCAAAATTACATGTAGTACTTCCCTAACTTACCAATGGTTGCCAATTTCTGTGGCAACCTAGAACAATGAATGCTGTATAAATACCTTCTGCATTTGTAGATGAAGAAATTGTCAAAGAGAATTTAAATGAACATCATAATGCTGACAGCTCCAGTTCCATCACTGCAAATTTCTAGTACACATGTATATGAAAACATGAAGCAAATAAGAAGCAGCGCATTTCTATACCATTAGTTCATTGAATTCCATTGTGTACTGTAGAAAGGCATAATGGATGCCACAGAAAGCAAGATGATGGTCTGTTATTTTGGGTGCAACCCAGCAATTACATAACCCGTGTTCTAATGACTGCATACTGCTCCATCATTAAAAAGAAAATTTCATTTTATTTAAAATTATAATCACTAAATCCAGTGACTTCTGATGAGCTTTGTGAATGTGATTTGCAATATTGATTCTACCACATTCAAGTAAGAAAATAAATTCTAAAAGAAACAACGCTGAAGATAAGTATATTAGAAAGTATTTTTGTGAGGGATATTAGTAAGATTTTTCTGCTTTTTTATGATCAACATCTTTGACATTTTTCAGGCAAATGCTGAAGAGCAGAGATAAGCCAAGGTAGAACATAAAGGACTAGAATGCCACTCAGAAAAAATGCTTACTAGTATCTTAATTTACCAATAGCTGTTGTCAGGTTGCTCTACAGTCTTACTAACCATATATTTTGTATTTCCCATGCAAGTTGTTATTTGTATTTCAAAATAGCCTTCATAAGTACTGGAAGACTTTTTCAGATATTGCTATTCAGAGATCACAAGCTGTCTTTTCAGTCTCAGATTCCATTCAGGCTCATAGGATATTCCAGTGTAGTAGGACTCAGAATATATTAAAGGCTCAAACAGAAGACATAGAGACATCACTGGATATTATGAAGGAAATAAAGGGAGAACTAACCACAGAGTTTCATCAAAAGCTGATAGAAATTTTTTAACTGAAATGTTTAATTTCAATGAGTTTCATATTAGCAGAAAGTGACACAATAAAGTACTAATGACTATCAGATGTAAAAAATGTTACATGTGTCTAAGAGATCCTAAATTTAAAGAAACTAAGTGTGGGGGTAATTTTTTGTGGGGAGAGTGTTGTCCTCATACTCTGAATAAAAGACTAGCTGATAACTATCAGGAAATGGAGGGCAAAGAAAATTTTTGACTCCAAAAGATCAGAAGCAGCACCAGCTGCTGAAGCGGCAGAAACTTTACTTGAGAGATGATAGGGCTTAGACAATGCTGAAATGTACATGGGGAAAGCCAATAACAGCCTCTGCTGCTGCAATGTAAATCAACAAGCATTTTGACCTGTCCTATCACTTCTGAGTTAGAACTCTTGAACACATTCATATAGCTTGAGGTTTTCACTAAAACTGACAAGAAGAACCCCTTCATTTTACTACAGCAATCAGGAGTAAATGAGAGGTGAATCAGGCTAAAGGTAAAAACCAGTAGTTGTTTGTGTGGCTTGGCAAACTTATATTTTTTTAAAACTAATGTTCTGAAAGAGAAACATTTTTCCATTACATTGCCCAATCCTAATAAGTGTAATTCAGAAAGTTCCCCACCTCATTATTTAGAGGAAACATTTTTTTAAAACTAGGATACTGAGAACACTCCATACCTTGGGGAGCTAATTTTAGTCCTTTAGTACAATATCGAAATGATCATTGAATGTTCAAGGATAAAAAATAGCTAAGAATAGAGCCAAATGGAGTTTCAAAAAGCATTCATCCTGAAGTTAATGATAAATTTAAGAATAGCTAATGTTAAGAGCTCTTTATAAAGTGATTAATGAAGTCTGTCAAGTAGTAAATCCCAAAATCTCTAGAACTTTTTCCAAGTATATACATCTACACTTTCATATACAGTAGAGGAGAAAGAAAAAAAAAGTAGGAAGAAGCTTTCTGATGTAATTATAGACTCTACTCAATGGGAAAAAAATTCTGAGTTTGAGTTGATGCAGCAATCCAAGCAAATGGATGGGTTAAAAAACAAAACATCAGAAACCCTACTCTAACCAAACTGGCAAAAAAAAAAAAGTTAAAATATGAACATTGTAAAGGAACTTTCAAAATATGAAACAGCTAAAAACTTTAGACTTTTTTAAACAAAGTTCAAAGAAAGTATTCTGTTTCAACATTAAGTACTCCATCCATTTCAATGTACACGAGCGCTTTTGCTTAGCCCAAATTAATTTTCTCTTTCAGTTTTTCCTTTCAGCCATCATTCTGCTTCTCCTGCCTACCTGTGCTTCCACACACACATGCTTAGTTAAGGAGTTTTTACTTATATCCTTCCCATGCTTTAAATGACCTTGCATTGGGGACCTTGGCACGTGTACCTGTGTAATATTGGAGAGTATTGCCCTGATTCATGTTTTTGACATGAAGAGTATATATAATATAACATACCATACTAAGAAAGATGAGGAGTCACCACAATTTGAACACCTCAGCAATAGGTAGGACTTTTGAAGCTTCTTACAAAATCTTCTAACTCATCTGCTCAAGGTTTCACACTTGATTTAAATACTTTTCAGCTTTTGGAAAGCCACTAAAGCAGCTCGCATTATGGCATTACACCTAATATAAATGTTTCAAGCTTTTGAAGACCATTCAGCATCTAAGACTAAGGCTGAAGACAGC